TTCTCCCGAGACTGTGGTAGAATCAGACGGGTTATTTGAATACATGGCCGCAGGGTGGCGTTGTTGAGTTACCAGGGAGAAGGAAGTTCACGTAATATCAACCACGTTTTGCGACGGCTGTGACGTCACTGTTCTGCTGGTAAATCACCGCATGATGATTGATATTGATTGACACCTGCTCGTGCCTATTGCAGCTTAATTTGTATCGATAACAGTTCGATGAACCAATCTTCGCCTGGAAGGTTGAACTTTTATGTCTGTCTCACGTCTTGCTACTGACCGCCTCTATCCACATTCCGGGGGATAATGTACAGGAGGGATTCAGCCTACCAAACGCAGATCCCAGGGTGTGGCTGCGGTAGGAGGGATGTGAACCCCACTTTCTGGAGCATACTAAATATTTATACATTCGAAATACACTTATAACAGAAATATGACTCATTTGGTTATCTTTTTTTCCACAAATTACGCGAAATGCCAAATAAGAAAATACACCCCTCCATTTAAAAAACTCCGCGTTGGCATTGGCAAATGTTTTCACCGAAGTTTATATCTGATTTGAATAGGGAATAGCTTACACGAGGCACAAGGCACACGATACAAATGTCAATATCAAACACATGGGGCACACGTGAAGATGTGTATCAGTTCTCTGCAGCCGGATCCATGTCACTCTGTCTGCTTTAGTCAGATGTTTTTCACTCTCTTTACGAGGGGACAAGGGTTGTCGGTAGCTGTCTGTCACAGCAGGGGGATGTCACCGCACCCTGTCACTTGTGTCTTTAGGTGTTGATAACATAACGATAACAACGTTAATGTCGTCATATAGCTGGACTAGTGCAGAGTGCGGCGCGTTAAACAACCAACAAGCAATAATATTCCATAAGCGCATATCTGCGGATACCAACGATATTAACATAGCCCAACTGACAAAGCGATTGCACTCGGCAACACCTCATAGTTTCAATATTGACACAAGGTTATCTGCAACAGAGTAAATATTGTTTCATCACAATCATCATCACACATCACACTGTCCTGCTTCCCTTGGGTCCTGGTGTCCCGGAAGCGCCCAGCTTCATACGAACATACTCATATGTCGACATGTTGTACAGTCTATGGGAATAATTTACTGTGGATTTGAATTCCGGTTCGCCCCGATAATGTTTGTCAGCATCATATCCATAGTCGTGGCTTTCGCCAAAGTGGTAAACGTCTGAAACCTGCATCACATCGGGTTTTCCTCCCTCATGAAGCGCCATTATATAGCTGGAATACTTTGAAAAGCGGCGTTAAACCCAACTCACTCACTCACTCACTACTAGCTCTGTGTAGTTCAAGGCGACATTTCAGACATGTGGGCCATAAATAGTTATAATTATACGTTTATTGTTCATGCTCAACGATTTTATTTCACCATCCTAAATTGGCAACTGGCGAAGCTGTATGAAGTGAGCTTTTGTAGAACACAGTTTATTTTCTACATTATGCGAGCTCTTACGGTTACACGAACAGTTGAAATTCATCAACAATGTTTTTAAATGCCATGAGAGAGATTCTGTGTTAAAAAATGACAGCTGTTTTACATTTTCTTTTGAAAAGCCATGATTCCCCGCGCATATCTGCGGTCGGTAAAACTCGAAAACATGTCGTACCTGCCCATGCGAGTTATCACCGTCGTGCAGAATAATCGCAGATGAACAGTTCACCTTTTCAGAATGAACGAGGAAAAAAGTGATATTCCAAATCTCAAGCGTTTTGTACGACGGTTGAAAAACAAATGACAGATACAGTCGAAACGTTTCCGTATGACTTCAATTATCCACCAATCTCATTAAAATCAGATCTTAGTTCTCGCTACCGCTAACAAAGATCTGAAGACATCCCATTAGGGGTCACGTCAGAACGACCTTTCATCCGAGCAATCAGAGCGTCGCTTACCAGATCATGAGAGTGACAGTCGGAATGTGATTTCTAATCATGCAGCCTCGAAAACGTTAAAACGGGGTATTCCGAACGATAGTTACGGGCTTAACGACTGAATCTATACAATCTAGACCATATATTAGCCATTCTAGAACGTAATTTCGTTCAGGTTTCAAATTTTTAAGCGAGAATTTGTCAAAATATGTTTCGAAGCGCCAATTTGAAATTCGTGCCGTAAAGCACGAGAAAGCTGCCCTCTGATTAACTAATGTCGACTTCTTGTCAGTAATTCCATTGGTCGGTCAGAGTTTGCCAAAGGTCAGTCTGACGTGACCCGTAATGGGATGTCCTCAGATCTTTGTTTAGCGGCAGCGAGAACTAGCATCTGATTTTAATAACATTGATTATCTCCAAATCCATCTCAACGTTACTTTTGTCTCGGACTATACGGATTATGCAAAAATCATTTTCAAGGCAATTCTATGACTGTTTTGTGCTGGACAAGCTAAGCTGGATGGATGCAGATCATAGATCGGTGTTCCTCTGAATCTACACATGACGGGGGGATTAATAGCAGATGTTTCTGTATATTGGTCTCTACTGTAATGACACCGTATCAAGTACAATATCTAGTGGGAAATTACTGTCTGATATGTAAACTGAAATCACAGGAGTAATTGAGCTGCACTATCCCCCTTGTAGATAGGAGCCACATCGCTATGTTACTGCCCTAGATTTTTACAGATTGGTACAGATCAATCGACGTCACTAATGACATATGTCATTGTGTAATCTGATAACAGTCACACTGTTCAACCCTATACACCCAAGATCCCGTGTTACTGTCACAGTCACAAAGAAAGACAGTAGTTCTATTGCGCAGTGTTAAAGATGACAACCAATGACTTGTAGATAAATAGACACATGCTTCTATATATACACACAGTCTTGTGGTTAAAGGGTATGCTCGCCACATCGAAGGTCCGGGTTTGATTCCCCACATGGGCGCAATACATTGTTCCCATTCCTGGTGTGAAGCCGGATTTCTCTTCTGATCACTGCTACCAGGCGTGAAACCATATTCCCTCACACGCATACAAAGATATATGCAGATAAACGATGTGGGTTTAGTTACAAGAATATATCAATATTGTCACTATATTGTCTGAAACCACTGTCATTGTTTCTTCACACTCGGGGCGGTCGGGTAGCCTAGTGGTAAAAGCGTTAGCTCGTCACGCCGAAGTCCCGGGTTCGATTCCCGACATGGGTACAATGTGTGAAGCCCATTTCTGATGTCCCCCGCCGTGATGTTGTTGGAATATTGCTAAAAGCGGCGTAAAATCACTCACTCACTCACTCACTCTTCCTTCTCAATGTCCACCACACTCAACAAAGAAGGGCTGTAAATATGGCGGGTCTAGGAGGTTGTGTGTATTGTGAATCATGAAATAATGTGAAACGTACCTTTGAACTTTAGAAATGACTTAGAATTTCATGATATAGTATGAACCGACAGACGTCCAAATGAATAATATCGTTGGCTTATTTCACAAAAAAAATTCTCTTGACATGTGATTTTATTTCCATTAAATCAAAAACATGTGATTCCAAACAAGGCATATTGAAATAGAGCAGGGCAGGTCAACAACGAAGATTGTACATACCTTACCGCAATCATTTGAAGCTGAAGTGGCAGTGGTATGTATTTACAACGACGGCTGTGGCTGTACTGGATATTTTAATTACGTGGATGATGAGTGATTTGTTTATAACAATTACATAATTTGACAAGGGCACCATGAACAAATACGCCGCCAAGTATGGTTGGAGATTGTCATAAATGTTTGTGTGCTATATGTGATTAAGGAAGAGAATTATATTGATGTCGACTTCTTTTAAGGAGAAACCAGAAAGGTCTTTTAATGGCCATGGAAGCAAGTAGTGAGGGGACTATGGATATGAACAAATGCTGCACGTGTCCAAATTGTTCCTGACGCCTTCAGAAGGCTGGAGTAACAGTGACAGTGGAAGTGGTGACTAAATGCTCGTCAAATATCGATAATGAAGCGTCACCGCATAAAGGGATAGTTCAAAGTTCAAAAAGGGTGTTGACACGAAATAAGGGAGGGGATGTTGATTTTCCAACCTGTCGGCTTTTCCATCAAGAAGACGACCACCGCATCCACAGACACCCATTTCTGGACAGTTGCTTCCTCCTATATAGGGGTCCACGGCACAGTTGTTGTTTTTCTACATGTAGGACATGTGCAAATACTACGGTTACGTAACAGTATCGTCTCACGGAAAGGGATGGGCAAGCGTGCTAAAGGCGCGAAGTATTCTAGTCAAAGATGACACAACACAAAAAGACAGTAATGATGGTGTATTGAAGTATTAAGTTACAGGGTGCAAATCCTGGCTGCACAGCCATGGAGACACCTTAAACAAAATCAAAAGGTATGGCTTGCGATGATGGTGCCCAGGCAGTGCAGACAGAAACATATAAAATATATTTTAAAGAATTAACAATAACCCAAGTGATATTCGTGATGTGATGATAATACTTATAGGAGAAAACAATATTGTGAAAGATAATGCAAACACATAGTTGACAACAAAACAGCATATGTACATGAATAAAGACACAGCCCCAATGATTATTTACAGAAATTATATCAACTAATAATCCCCCAATATAATCATCACATCCTTTCCACCACAGGATACATACATCCCATCTGACGTGAGGTGAAAGTCACTTTAACAGCGGCCAATGTCAAAACACCCCCTAGGTAAACCACCTGAGGCTACCCAGAATGAATGCCCAATTTAAGCCAAAATATTAATGGATATAACATAATTAATATTACTAAGATTGCAGGCAAATTATTGACCATGTAATTTAATACATTATATTATTAGTATTGAAGACAAGGTGACTTCACTTTCACATCAAGTGGGTAAACACAGTGAAATATAATTTATACCACCAATCCGACAATGTAGAAATATTACTCGTTTAAAAGGACTGGATTCATACTCACTCATGTAAAATAGTTACTGTCAACAACCTTACAAGATATGATCTTTAAAGTAAAATTTCGGTGAAAAACATCATCAAAATCAAAATCTAATATAGGCGCAACTAAAAAACATATCCAAACTCGGTTAAGACAATTTATTCTGTTGTGTATGGAGACAATTCTCAGAGGGTTTGAATGCATTTCATGCAATGGATTCAGAGGAGATAGGATTTGAAGACAGGTACCAAAAAAAACTGTGAAAACTTTGAATCCAATATGGCTGCCAAACCAAGTAACCAATGACCTAAGTCAAAGAACAAATAATGTCAAGCACCCCTAGCAGCAGACACATGCAAAGTTTAAAAGTAATCGGAGAAGCGGTTTTGGAGCAATAGGGCAAAATATAGTTAACAAAATTACTTGTTTTTCAGCTGTCTGCCCTTGGTCTTTGAGCCTACGGCCTTGGGAATTTTGTCGTATCTAGAACTTATTTTGCTGGCTCTGGTACCAAAATCGGCGGAATAATAATAAATAAATCGGCCGATTACAATAGGGCTTCAAGCCTTTCGACTCAGAGCCCTAATAATCAACTCCATCCATGCTTAATGACTTGAGAGTATATGCTGAAATGTTATGTGTCACATCAACTGCACCGACAATCGGAGAACAAAATCCACTGTAGTAGAGTAAGAGTTGTCGTCCTCAAAACTTGAAATACACTTTTTGTCGATACATATCGTGTTTTCCTTCGAACATTTATTATCACACATACTTTGAAAATTGTATTAACCGAAAGTATGCATTGTAAGTATATGTGTTTATATCTCATTATTTCAAAATGCCTACCGACGATGATTCAGAAAGAAGTTTTGTTTTATAAATATTTACTTCCGAGGGTAGGCAGCCATTATATCAACTGTTTCAATCAGAGGTGGTTATGTGACTTGAAGTTTTTGATTGACCAATCATAATCGAATATTTTCAAATTCGTTGAAGAATATCTTAATAGAATTCAGGGAACCAAACACAGAAGAATACGACTAACTCCATCCATGCCTACTGACTTAAGAGTATATGGTGTTATATAAGTGTTATATGACACATTAACTGCGCCTACAATTGGAGAAGAAAGGCCACTGTAGTAGATGGTGCCTCTATACAGTCTCATGTTCCAGGGTATAGTGGTCAGTGTGGTCACCTCTGTACTCACATTATTGGACACGGTCATCTTCATCAGTTTCTCATCATTGTTATAATACAACACACCAGCTGTCTGATCTAGGGTTACAGCAAACATGACACTTCCTGTGGCTAATGTTGCCAGGCCTTGACCATCATATGTTACCATGAACAGTTTCTCGCCATTACACCCATATATCCTCTTTCTCCTTGTGTCAAGAGTTAGTTGCCTTGGAATGCCTCTGTACTTGGATAAGTCAATGATGGCAGTAAAGTCTTTCCCCTGTGTAGACATGCGGCTGATTGAAGTTCGTGGGAATTCTGTTGTCATAAACACAATGTCCCGATCTTCATCCACTGCCATACCATATGTCTGTACACCTTCTCTTAGTACTGTCACGTGACTTGTATCAAGGGCAGATGATACGATCTTACTAGGATTGTAAAGTCCAATCAGAAGTTTCCTTGTCTTCGCTATATAGGCAACAGATACCACATTCTTCATGGTGAGATACTGATAGACACTGAGGGAGTTGCTGTGAATGTTGAGTTGACGGAACTGATGCAGGACCTTTGACCAACGTGGAGCAATCAGAATCCGACTTCTCTCCTCTTGTCGTCTTTGTGTGGTCACTGACGTTGTAGACACAGGTAGCCTTGGTGTCGTCATTAACGTTGTCAACCCAGGTGACCCGGATGTAGGCGTATCATTTTGAGTTGCTGGGGAAGCATCATGTACAGTAAACGTTGTTTTCTGTTTTTGTTTTGGGAACTGACACGTCTCATTCAATGTCATTAAGCGCTTGATGTCAGCCTTGAGATCAGCAGTGGTAACCTCACACTTCTGTAGTTCCATTTCCAGTCTACGTTTGTCTCTGACACAGACGTCACTTGAGTTGTCTCGATTCCCAACCCGTGCCTTCTTCAAGACAGCTTCATGAAATACGCTCGTCTCGTCCTGGAAGTCTTTGAGTTCATTGGAGACATGATGCATCTGCCTCTTCATCTGATGGTAGCCCCGTGTCAGGTGCCGCAATTCAGAGACAACCTGACTTTTCACCATGTCTTGAAGAGACTCTCCTTCTAGAATCTCGGCCATGGCTTCTCTCACCTGATCACGTATGTTTTCTCTTAATTCAGCCCTCAATGCTGTTTTTGAATCAACTATTATATTTCGTATCCTTTTCTCCATATTGATCATGTCCTCCTTGTTATGAAACAGATCCTCCTCAAACTGGTCCAGTCTCTGTATGACAGACACAATACTGTCCTGGCAGTTACAAACACAGATCAGGTAAGTCCATATCAGCAACCATGAAAGGTGTTTAAACTCGGCCATCTTTGGCACTGTACACTATACTGTAAGATGCCCTTGTCCGTTAGAGTGATGTGCACGTGTACCCTTCGGTATGACACAACGTGGTCTGCGTCAGATAAGTTGGTGGAAGGTACAAGTATACATTTACTGGGTTATCACCACGTAATCAGTGTTGCAGGTCAAACATGCAGACCATCTCCTGGGTGTAAAGAATACTCGGTTATCACTATTTACCTGATTTAGCATGTACATGGATCGCTATTATTGGTGATTTAGGTACGTCGTAGTATATAATCAAACGTTGAATTTTACTTGTGTTTTACTCACATGTATAAGAAGCATTCAACCATTAAGTGGTCACCCCTAAAGAAAACAACGCTCGTCTTGCATTGTTTAGTTCCAGGGAACACCCCACTATTACTTCATCACACGGCTCATTGTGACACAAAAGATGACACCACAGTCTCCATTATTCCAAAATATATTTTCAAGCATAATTTGAATATTTTAGTAACCTCAATTCTTCTTTATGTAACGTACAGTGGTGCACGTTATTCCAGTATGCCTTAAGACAATGATTGAGAGAAAAACAAACTATTCCGTCAACAAAAGCCCGACAAGGCCAAGAGGGGCCACCCCTTGTAATTTTATGGCTTATGTACCTTTAAGGTGGTGACTAAATAACCACATGATGGTCTTATAACTCATGTAATGCTAATCGGTAGCATCGGACTAAAGTTTGTTAACAAACAAACTTAGAGCCTTGGCTGGACGCTTGGGGTGAATGGCCCGTCCACGCTTGACTTATATATATTGACTTATATACAGCTTATGCTATATTTCAAATGAGAAAATTCCCGAACTTGGTTCGCACAACCGTCGATGTCCCCACTACAAGTTCAAAGATCGGAGTCGTTGTCAAGCTGTGAAGACAGAAGCTTGGTAAGCAACTACAGGTACTAGTTTGAACCAATGTCGTTTGAGCTATCAAGGTTGAAGCCCTGGCAACGAATACCTCTGTGTATTTAGATCATGTCTGTTGTATATTGAATTACTACTGAGAAGTTATTAGCAGTGTTACTAACGTGTGACTATTCGCCTGTTAGACGTATCTAACGCAGTGTGTCTTCAACTATACAAAAGTATCAATGGCGGTAACAGCTCAAAATGACCACACATTAAAATGGCTGCAAACTCTAGTCAAAACGCCTCCATGAAAACGTGATATGTTGTTCGTTTTTATTGAAACCCAGAAATGCATGATGTTTTTTAAAGTCATAATAATCAGAGGGAGACAAACGGTGCCTAACAATGGTTTGTTACCCAATTGCAGCATGTGAAGAATACATCAAACCCATACTGTAAAGTCTTCATTGGCTGCCATCTAAACAACGGATAAAGTTCAACATCATTCATGATCCACAGTATCCACAATATGTTAAACTCTATTTTCAGTTCACAAGCCTAGTTGCAATCTACTCTCTGCCGATCAAATGGGTTTTTTAAATTTACCACTAAAGCACAATTGGGTGAAAGATCTTTCTCAGTCGCTTCTCCCTCAACTCACTCCTTCTGACGACGCTCGTATTTATAAGTGGCAAATGTTATTTATCGGTTGTCACAGTCCCCGAATAGCACTAATGATTTGAGAAGCATTATTTTCAAAGTAAACATTACGTATATTGGTGAATATTCAGAATGATGACAGGAATGTCTTGTCTTGTGTTTAAAGAATCAGCAGAAAACGTGAACTGGTAAGTATAATTAAGATGACAGGCAGAGAAAATAGAACTCCATCTTGCCATGATGGACTAAAAAGAGTGCCGTAAGCAGGAGTTCCTAGTGGTGTTGATGATGCCAGAGTTCACTCCTTCAGGAAGGTTGTACAACATGTGTTGGCATGTTAAGAGACAAACCAATTTGTATCAAAAGGAGTTTTGTTTCGTACGAAAACAGCACAATTTGTGTCAACCTTTCTGTGGTTTATTTGTGGGAATCTATTCAAGTGGAATCTAGAATATACACATTCGTCATGATAAAGAAACACAAAGTACAGGAAGACATTCAGTAATTACTTCCGCTGTCCCCGTCTGACTTGCCAATGTGTCCATGAGGTGAAGGTCTTGCTGTACCACATCTTGGACACTATGCAAGGGGCACAAGTTACTGAAACACAACACTTTGTTCCAGGGACGAGGCCTTTGTTCTCATGGCCATCGTAAAATGTGCAGAATTGGGCAAACATGCCCTTGATCCCATTCGATAGGGTTTCATCACACGGTATGTGATAAGTTCCTGTGAAACTACAGCAAGAATACATTGCCTCAAGCTTTACTCCTCTCTTCTTCGGGAGGTTGAATTGAATTAGCAAACCTTCATTTATGTATCTTACAACACATGCTCATTTCCAACTGTTTAGCTTTGATGGTAGACATTACGAGAAATGTTAACATTCATTCAAGTTTTTCCTTCACGGAATGAGATAGGCTGCATGTACACCTATGTTCATTGCCTGTGAACATGACACCATGCATGTGTAACAACAATTATACAAATAATTAGGCAATGCATTGGCAGCATGACTTACAGGACATAAACAATATTATTCTGGCTAATGACCCTGAGTGTATAATACATTGTACCATATGCTTTCAAGCACAGAACCATCCTGCCATTCCCATTGCCAAGTTCACACATGTTGTTAAGTGTTGTGGGTCTGAGGACCACCGTGTGTGCTGCATCAAGGGGATTACTTATGATGTCATTGTTCCGGTGGGATCGTCACACATAGCTGAGCTTTAGGTTCAGCAGATCAAAGACTTTAAACTCATACCGTGTACATAAACTGACAGGCTACTTACGTGCAGCAGATAGAGAAAACTACTGGACACAAACAAATGTGGTGATTTACGCGAGCAAGCAATGATCCTGTCCTTAATTATATGGCAACTAGAGCACTTGAGCCAGGGGACTCACGTGGCGTTGAGGTGAATAGCTTACGAATTATTCATGGTAATAATGGATTGAAAACCACATCAGACACATAATTTTATGACTTCCAAAAGCGGTTTTCCTTCAAGCTAAAGTCAGTAGTAATATTTTATTTGAGAACTGGAAGTGCCATTAATCAGAAAGCTAAACACGCATGTGCGCGCGCGCGCGTGTGTGTGTGTGTGTGTGTGTATGTGTGTGTATGTGTGTGTTATTGTCTATGTGTGTGTGTGTGTGTGTGTGTGTGTGTGTGTGTGTGTGTGTGTGTGTGTGTGTGTGTGTGTGTGTGTGTGTGTGTGAATCGGCATTGTTGAGTTTGGTGTTTTGAGTGGGTTTTCAGTCTGAATTAAGGAAACGCAAGTGGACTCTCACCTTTTTACCCTGTAGACACACTAAACCAGCCAGGTCCACCACTGGGGTACGATGACACACTAAACCAGCCAGGTCCAGCACTGGGGTACGTTGACACACTAAACCAGCCAGGTCACACCACTGGGGTATGACGACACACTAAACCAGCCAGGTCCACCACTGGGGTACAATGACACACTAAACCGTCAAGGTAACACCCCTTGGGTGATTAGATTGACCTTTCAGGAACCTGTGTTCACAACCACAAGTACTGTATTAAACAACCTCGCAGCACTGACTACCCCTAGTAGATGGCCCTGTGTTCTCGTGTCATTAATAATGGCCCACCCATGCAATAAATAGCTCGTAAACACGAATAAACACCTCTGATTACATAATACAAGACGGATGTGAGCACGTATGAAACATATGGAATCACATACACTACTTCATGCTGGCCTCGGGTCCTATCCGGTCCTCCATCCGGAGTCGTGAGCCGAGCTCGAGGTTCTCCCGAGACTGTGGTAGAATCAGACGGGTTATTTGAATACATGGCCGCAGGGTGGCGTTGTTGAGTTACCAGGGAGAAGGAAGTTCACGTAATATCAACCACGTTTTGCGACGGCTGTGACGTCACTGTTCTGCTGGTAAATCACCGCATGATGATTGATATTGATTGACACCTGCTCGTGCCTATTGCAGCTTAATTTGTATCGATAACAGTTCGATGAACCAATCTTCGCCTGGAAGGTTGAACTTTTATGTCTGTCTCACGTCTTGCTACTGACCGCCTCTATCCACATTCCGGGGGATAATGTACAGGAGGGATTCAGCCTACCAAACGCAGATCCCAGGGTGTGGCTGCGGTAGGAGGGATGTGAACCCCACTTTCTGGAGCATACTAAATATTTATACATTCGAAATACACTTATAACAGAAATATGACTCATTTGGTTATCTTTTTTTCCACAAATTACGCGAAATGCCAAATAAGAAAATACACCCCTCCATTTAAAAAACTCCGCGTTGGCATTGGCAAATGTTTTCACCGAAGTTTATATCTGATTTGAATAGGGAATAGCTTACACGAGGCACAAGGCACACGATACAAATGTCCATATCAAACACATGGGGCACACGTGAAGATGTGTATCAGTTCTCTGCAGCCGGATCCATGTCACTCTGTCTGCTTTAGTCAGATGTTTTTCACTCTCTTTACGAGGGGACAAGGGTTGTCGGTAGCTGTCTGTCACAGCAGGGGGATGTCACCGCACCCTGTCACTTGTGTCTTTAGGTGTTGATAACATAACGATAACAACGTTAATGTCGTCATATAGCTGGACTAGTGCAGAGTGCGGCGCGTTAAACAACCAACAAGCAATAATATTCCATAAGCGCATATCTGCGGATACCAACGATATTAACATAGCTCAACTGACAAAGCGATTGCACTCGGCAACACCTCATAGTTTCAATATTGACACAAGGTTATCTGCAACAGAGTAAATATTGTTTCATCACAATCATCATCACACATCACACTGTCCTGCTTCCCCGGTGTCCTGGTGTCCCGGAGGCGCCCAGCTTCATACGAACATACTCATATGTCGACATGTTGTACAGTCTATGGGAATAATTTACTGTGGATTTGAATTCCGGTTCGCCCCGATAATGTTTGTCAGCATCATATCCGTAGTCGTGGCTTTCGCCAAAGTGGTAAACGTCTGAAACCTGCATCACATCGGGTTTTCCTCCCTCATGAAGCGCCATTATATAGCTGGAATACTTTGAAAAGCGGCGTTAAACCCAACTCACTCACTCACTCACTACTGTGGAGAGCTCTGTGTAGTTCAAGGCGACATTTCAGACATGTGGGCCATAAATAGTTATAATTATACGTTTATTGTTCATGATCAACGATTTTATTCCACCATCCTAAATTGGCAACTGGCGAAGCTGTATGAAGTGAGCTTTTGTAGAACACAGTTTATTTTCTACATTATGCGAGCTCTTACGGTTACACGAACAGTTGAAATTCATCAACAATGTTTTTAAATGCCATGAGAGAGATTCTGTGTTAAAAAATGACAGCTGTTTTACATTTTCTTTTGAAAAGCCATGATTCCCCGCGCATATCTGCGGTCGGTAAAACTCGAAAACATGTCGTACCTGCCCATGCGAGTTATCACCGTCGTGCAGAATAATCGCAGATGAACAGTTCACCTTTTCAGAATGAACGAGGAAAAAAGTGATATTCCAAATCTCAAGCGTTTTGTCCGACGGTTGAAAAACAAATGACAGATACAGTCGAAACGTTTCCGTATGACTTCAATTATCCACCAATCTCATTAAAATCAGATCTTAGTTCTCGCTACCGCTAACAAAGATCTGAAGACATCCCATTAGGGGTCACGTCAGAACGACCTTTCATCCGAGCAATCAGAGCGTCGCTTACCAGATCATGAGAGTGACAGTCGGAATGTGATTTCTAATCATGCAGCCTCGAAAACGTTAAAACGGGGTATTCCGAACGATAGTTACGGGCTTAACGACTGAATCTATTCAATCTAGACCATATATTAGCCATTCTAGAACGTAATTTCGTTCAGGTTTCAAATTTTTAAGCGAGAATTTGTCAAAATATGTTTCGAAGCGCCAATTTGAAATTCGTGCCGTTTAAGCACGAGAAAGCTGCCCTCTGATTAACTAATGTCGACTTCTTGTCAGTAATTCCATTGGTCGGTCAGAGTTTGCCAAAGGTCAGTCTGACGTGACCCGTAATGGGATGTCCTCAGATCTTTGTTTAGCGGCAGCGAGAACTAGCATCTGATTTTAGTAACATTGATTATCTCCAAATCCATCTCAACGTTATACGGACTATACGGATTATGCAAAAATCATTTTCAAGGCAATTCTATGACTGTTTTGTGCTGGACAAGCTAAGCTGGATGGATGCAGATCATAGATCGGTGTTCCTCTGAATCTACACATGACGGGGGGATTAATAGCAGATGTTTCTGTATATTGGTCTCTACTGTAATGACACCGTATCAAGTACAATATCTAGTGGGAAATTACTGTCTGATATGTAAACTGAAATCACAGGAGTAATTGAGCTGCACTATCCCCCTTGTAGATAGGAGCCACATCGCTATGTTACTGCCCTAGATTTTTACAGATTGGTACAGATCAATCGACGTCACTAATGACATATGTCATTGTGTAATCTGATAACAGTCACACTGTTCAACCCTATACACCCAAGATCCCGTGTTACTGTCACAGTCACAAAGAAAGACAGTAGTTCTATTGCGCAGTGTTAAAGATGACAACCAATGACTTGTAGATAAATAGACACATGCTTCTATATATACACACAGTCTTGTGGTTAAAGGGTATGCTCGCCACATCGAAGGTCCGGGTTTGATTCCCCACATGGGCGCAATACATTGTTCCCATTCCTGGTGTGAAGCCGGATTTCTCTTCTGATCACTGCTACCAGGCGTGAAACCATATTCCCTCACACGCATACAAAGATATATGCAGATAAACGATGTGGGTTTAGTTACAAGAATATATCAATATTGTCACTATATTGTCTGAAACCACTGTCATTGTTTCTTCACACTCGGGGCGGTCGGGTAGCCTAGTGGTAAAAGCGTTAGCTCGTCACGCCGAAGTCCCGGGTTCGATTCCCGACATGGGTACAATGTGTGAAGCCCATTTCTGATGTCCCCCGCCGTGATGTTGTTGGAATATTGCTAAAAGCGGCGTAAAATCACTCACTCACTCACTCACTCTTCACTCTCAATGTCCACCACACTCAACAAAGAAGGGCTGTAAATATGGCGGGTCTAGGAGGTTGTGTGTATTGTGAATCATGAAATAATGTGAAACGTACCTTTGAACTTTAGAAATGACTTAGAATTTCATGATATAGTATGAACCGACAGACGTCCAAATGAATAATATCGTTGGCTTATTTCACACAAAAATTTCTCTTGACATGTGATTTTATTTCCATTAAATCAAAAACATGTGATTCCAAACAAGGCATATTGAAATAGAGCAGGGCAGGTCAACAACGAAGATTGTAATACCTTACCGCAATCATTTGAAGCTGAAGTGGCAGTGGTATGTATTTACAACGACGGCTGTGGCTGTACTGGATATTTTAATTACGTGGATGATGAGTGATTTGTTTATAACAATTACATACTTTGACAAGGGCACCATGAACAAATACGCCGCCAAGTATGGTTGGAGATTGTCATAAATGTTTGTGTGCTATATGTGATTAAGGAAGAGAATTATATTGATGTCGACTTCTTTTAAGGAGAAACCAGAAAGGTCTTTTAATGGCCATGGAAGCAAGTAGTGAGGGGACTATGGATATGAACAAATGCTGCACGTGTCCAAATTGTTCCTGACGCCTTCAGAAGGCTGGAGTAACAGTGACAGTGGAAGTGGTGACTAAATGCTCGTCAAATATCGATAATGAAGCGTCACCGCATAAAGGGATAGTTCAAAGTTCAAAAAGGGTGTTGACACGAAATAAGGGAGGGGATGTTGATTTTCCAACCTGTCGGCTTTGCCATCAAGAAGACGACCACCGCATCCACAGACACCCATTTCTGGACAGTTGCTTCCTCCTATATAGGGGTCCAAGGCACAGTTGTTGTTTTTCTACATGTAGGACATGTGCAAATACTACGGTTACGTAACAGTATCGTCTCACGGAAAGGGATGGGCAAGCGTGCTAAAGGCGCGAAGTATTCTAGTCAAAGATGACACAACACAAAAAGACAGTAATGATGGTGTATTGAAGTATTAAGTTACAGGGTGCAAATCCTGGCTGCACAGCCATGGAGACACCTTAAACAAAATCAAAAGGTATGGCTTGCGATGATGGTGCCCAGGCAGTGCAGACAGAAACATATAAAATATATTTTAAAGAATTAACAATAACCCAAGTGATATTCGTGATGTGATGATAATACTTATAGGAGAAAACAATATTG